AGGCTGAGTCAACCCTGAGCCGGTGAGATTTGAACCGCTGACCTGCTGATCTAGCAGTAGCCTGCAGTGCTGCATTTAACCACTGCGCTCATTATCCTACAGCCACACAAGTTGCCTTTTGCAACTTTCCCAGCTGGCGGCTGACAAACCAAATCAATGGGGGAAGATGGATCCATTTAAGGACCCAGTGATTTGCTTAACGACTGTGGCAAAAGGGGCTGTAAAATCGAGTGTGATCACATGACGCCTCATTTAACGACCACCGCTTGGTAGTGGTTGTATGCCGAGGACTTTCTGCAGCTCAAAGGGAAAAAAATGTATGATGGCACGCAGTCAATGGGGGAAGGTGGATCCATTTAATGACCCAGTGATTTGCTTAACAACTGTGGTAAAAAAGGCTGTAAAATCAGGTTTGGTCACGGGATGATTCACTTAACGGCCTCATTGCACAGAGTTGATCATAAGTCGAGGACTGCCTATATCTCAAAGGAAGAACTATATGAAGAAAGACCAATTCACAAATGACCATGTTAGCCCATGCAGGAGAGAATTTTGTTGTCCATTACAGATAGTCCTCGATTTATGACCACAATCAAGCCCCCTCCCCCCAAAAGAAATTTCCATCGCAAAGCGAGTTTTGCCCCGTTTTAGGACCTTTCTCACCACTGTTGTTAAGCGAATCGCTGCAGGTGTTAAGTTACTGACATGGTCGTTAAGTGAATCTGGATTCCCCATTGACGACTTGTGAGAAGGTCCCCAAAGGAGATCACTGCAACAGTTACAAGTACATGCCAGTTGCCAAGCCTCCAAATTTCAATTGCATGCTAAATTGTGAGCATGTGACCAGGCGGAGGGAGGCAGCGACGGACGTTAAGTCTGAAAAAATAGTCACCTGTCACTTCTCCCCTGATGTTGTTATAACAGTGCACGGTCGCTAAATGAACTGTTGCAAGTGGAGGACAACCTCAACTAAGCTTCGGGGTCCCGTCGCCATGACGGGGGAGGCTTACCAGTGTTTGCACCATGTGCGGCCTCTGTAACCTCAAACTCTTCACCGTCTGGAAGACGTCCAGAATTCCTTCCGCCTTGACCCGTTCCAGGACGGTGCCCAATGCACAGAAAGTCCCCGTCCGGCCGGCTCCAGCACTGGGAAGGAGACAAAGAGGAGATCAACGGGGTCCTTCCTCCTGCAGCTGGGATGGCGAATCTATGGCACGGGTGCCACACGGAGCCATTTGTTAGGCCAGGGGTCAGCAAACTGCGGCTCTGGAGCTGCATGTGGCTCTTTCCTCCCTCTGCTGCGGCTCCGTCCTGG